AGCCTGGGAAACACAGTGAGACCACATCTCTACAAAACAAAACAAAACAAAAAAAGAAAATTAGCTGGGCATGGTGGCTCGTGCCTGTAGTCCAAGCTTCTCAGGAGGCTGAGGTGGGAGGATCACTCGAGCCTAGGAGTTTCAGGCTGCAGTGAGCCATGATCACACCACTGCACTCTAGCCTGGGTGACAGAGTGAGATCCTGTCTCTGGAAAAAAAAAAAAAAAAGAAAGAAACCTAAATAAAAAAAAAATTGTACTTACAGAGTTGTACAATGACATAAATGAGAATAATGTATATAAGAAGACTAGTATGATATCTGGCACATTGTAATTGCATAATTTAAAAAATTATTATTTATCTAAAATATTGATAATAATAAACAAATTAGGATAAAGGGCAAATCTCCATGGCATTTTGTGTGTGTACATTTCCTCAGAGATGACAGCAATCAAAATATTTTGAGACTATCAATTCAACCAGATTTATATTAAGATATACTTAAAATCCAATATAAAAACCTTTGAGATATAAAAACAGTAAAATATTCATTATTATTTATTTTCAGTTACGTTAGCAGGGTGTAATCGCTAAACTAAATGTAATCATTTAATAGAGTGTAGTTTCTATCACCTTCCAAATACTGGTATGAAGAGAAAGAAATCAAGATTGACTGGATGGGTAGGAAAATGTATCTTTTATCACTGAGAAGATCATTTCAACTGTTCAAGCAATTCCTACTTATGTCAGGACTCTGGCAGAATAAGAGATAAATACATGCCTGTGCTTATTCCTGTGTACTGTCTTACTTTATGAAAATAAAATGTTAAAATGATAAAGTACAATGGAGGGAAAGTACTTCTAGAAACTTCATCTTTTACTAATAAGGAAAACCAATGAAATACTAATAAAAAGGCCTAGTAAAGAAAAAATGTCTGTAGCATCTGCAATCAGAAGAGCTAAAACTCTTAGACAGTATGTAACATCTGGAATATTAACTTTAATGGCAGTAGGAAGCATCAAAATGTATACTTCACCACCAAACTAAAAACTGCTAATGGACCTCTAAAAAGAAAATGACAAATGAATATAAATCATTGTATCACTGTATACATCTAGAACTTGTTACATTTATGTTTATTAACACGTTATGTTCCTAAATTTTTCCAAGATAAGATCAATCAAACTACATATGGACAATCAAGGAATAAAGTTTTACATCCAAACAAATGGCTGTCATATAATTTCCCGCAAATAAACACTTCCAATTAATGATTGTTCACAGTATAGTCCTCTTTAGAGTCAAATATGAATCCTAAAATTTACCCATTCTAATGGTGCCATCTCCAAGGCACTACTGGAATGGGTAAATTTTAGGATTCACATTTGATGGTAATCAAATATTGCCATTAGGATGGCAATATTCTCTTACCTGTTAACTGTGTGACTTTGGGCAAATTATTTCAATGTCTCTATTTCTCAGGTTACAAAATGGAGGTAATATTTACTTCAGAGGCTTTCCAAGAGGATGAATTAGGGTATATTGTGAGATAACATAAAATTTACCGCTTTAACCATTTTCAAGTATACAGTTCTGTGGTTTTAAGTACATTCACGTTGCTGTATAACCACCACTAAAGCTGTATTTTTTAAGCTTTCAAGACTGAGCATGCAGTAACTGCTCAGAGAATGGCAGCTAAAATTACTCTCATTAGTGCTATCGTATTCTATCTTAAATTTGTGTAAATTATTTATTCCTAAACAGAAACTATTTCATATTTATTTCCACTAAATTACTCCCAGTCTGAGAAATACTAGTTTCATCTTTTAAGCTGTAAACTATATTTCTAGCTTTCAAATTCTTCATCCAAGTGAATAACAAAAATATACAAATACTAAGAACTAACACACTGAGCATTTACTATGTGCCTAGTGCTGTTCTAAGCATGTTCAATTAATCCTCAAAATAATTTTAGGAGTTATATCCTACAAACATTCACATTTTACAGCTGAGCATAAAGAGGGTAAGGAACTCGTCCAAGGTCAACCATCTGGTAAGCGGCAAAACCAGGATTTGCACTGAAACAACCAAGTTCTAGAGCCACTCTTCACCACTCCACTATGCTGCCTCTCACACACATAGTAACATATCACCCATGGGAATGATTACTTTCAGATGCCAGGTGTTATATGTTGACTGAGCCTTTGAGTTTCTCAGAAGCTTTAGCATCTATTATTTCATGTGCCTTTCCCAGAGATAATAAAGAGCAATCAGCCCCGTTTTGCAGATAGAGAAGACTCAGGGAGGTCAAGTAATTTGTTCAAGGTCAACAGACCTTGGAGAGGTCCTGGGTTTTAGCTTGGCCACTTACTAGTTGTGTGAAACTGCAAACTCCTTGAGCATCACTCAACTGTGAAAGGGAAATGATAACAACACCTTTTACAAGAAGTAAAAAAAGTATCTGTTTGCAAAGTACCTGGCATAGAGCTTTCTATAAAAAGTGCTCAATAAACATGATTCCCCCTTTCCTCATTTTGCGTGCGATTCCTGGCATAGTGTTCTTTCCAAACACCATGCCACTAATTATCAATACCTTCTCACCAACTGTGTTAACAGATGGGGGGCAAAGGATATGATTTTTTGGAGATTACTATGTGATATCAAACCAGAAACCTCAGTGAACCATGTGATACCAAATCAGGCACCTCAGTGAATTATACCTCCAGCTGTATTATATAATTTTAAATATAAGAAACTTCTTTTATTTTGTCCATATGGCCTAACACTTTATCAAAGTAGAAAATAAAATTGGTATACCAAGATTTGTTCTTTATATAATTATGCTTAATGTTCCCCAATACCTTCTGTTCTTTTAGGTAACTGCCAAATACCTTACTTGATTTGTTCTGTTTCCGACCAGACATTGTTCAAAAATTATCATTTCCAAATGCTATCTTTTTCCCCTTAAAAAAAAGAATGCTTTTTTTTTCCTGTCACTAGATCCTTCTCCTGTTCACCATGATTTCTCAAAAATAAAGACTAATAACTTGGCACTAGGTTTTTTCCCTCACATTTCCACAGAGGGAACATCTAATACTGAATTATAAGTACTATTTATGCCAAATACAGTCATAACAATTAGTATTTTTTGCCATTTAGGCAGCATTTTCTTAAGAAAAGATAAAAATGCCAGGAGGTGGCATACTCTCTTGTAAAGTGAAATTGCTGCATAATTAATCTTTTGTTTTTTTCTCCAGACAGCAAGGATGTCACGAAGCATGCACTGTTGACTTCCAAATATCATTTAAAACACTCCCTCCCATGTCTTAAAACAATTTGGAAGTGGATGTTAAAAGCCAAGGGAATTTTTCAATCCCATGTTGACTTCCTGAATCTTCCCCAACAAGCTAAAAGGCACATTGGGAGGGTACAAGCAGAAGTACCACAGAGAAAAGTGGTACTATGGGAACAATTCATTTGTTTGGCACAGTGAAGGTTCCCGCCAATTTGTAACAGTATGGATTCAACAACTTTTCAAAGTCAAAAATGAGGTTTGGACAAGAGTAGCTTTCCACAATAGCTTTTGCTGAGATCTAATAGCTAATACAAAATTTAAAAGCCTGTAAAAATTGGTAAAGTCCAGACAATGTTTAGGAATTAAAATATGACCTATCACTTTATTTTGCTAAAAAAGCACCAAGCTAAGATATTTGACTTCATGTATTCATTCATTCCTGGGCTAATTTTATGAAAAGAGGATGGAAAATTGTATTTTTGGTGCTTGAGTTTAGCCATCTATAAAAAATATTATTTGTCCTACTAATCTTATGAGTCAGAAGGATAAATGAAACAAAAGCTATTAAAGTATTGTTCAAAATTTAAAGTATATAGCAATGTGAGATACAATTGTATTTTTTTAAACTTGTAAGCCTCTATGATGAGGTCATTTTAATCATGTCAGTCCCACCAGACAAGTATACATTACTGACAAAATAACTTAATGATATTTTCTTAGCCCTTTATGGAAATACATTTACCAACAAATATAGATTTTTGTATTATCTGTTTGCTACTGTTTTTCACTTTTATAATTTAATATTTATAAATAATTAAATCCAATATAAATTCACTTAATTAATAAATGAAAATTTAGGGTCAGGCACGGTGGCTCACACCTGTAATCCCAGCACTTTGGGAGGCTGAGGCGGGCGGATCATGAGGTCAGGAGTTTGCCAGCCTGACCAACATGGTGAAACCCCATTTCTACTAAAAATACAAAAATTAGCTGGGTGTGGTGGCATCCACCTGTAATCCCAGCTACTCACGAGGCTGAGGTAGGAGAATCACTTGAACCCAGAAGGTGGTGACTGCAGTGAGCCAAGATCACGCCACTGCACTCCAGCCTGGGTGACGGAGCAAGACTCCATCTCAACAACAACAAAAAAAAAAAGTGAAAATTTGGAATATAGTATCTCGTAAAATCACTAACATATCTGCCATTTTACATCAATAAATTCTCAGTATGGCCAGGTGTGATGGCTCACGCCTGTAATCCCAGCACTTTGGGAGGCCAAGGCAGGCAGATCATCCAAGGTCGGGAGTTCGAGACCAGCCTGGCCAACATGGTAAAACCCTGTCTCTACTAAAAACACAAAAATTAGCTGGGCGTGGTAGCAGGCATCTGTAATCCCAGCTATGTGGGAGGCTGAGACAGAAGAATCACTTGAACCCGGTAGGTGGAGGTTGCAGTGAGCAGAGATCCCGCCATCGCACTCCAGCCTGGGTGACAAGAGTAAAATTCCATCTCAAAAAGAAAAGAAAAAGAAAAAGAAAAAAAAATCTCAGTATTATTGCAAAAAGACTATTAAGTTTTAAATAAGTTTTATAAAATAAGATTAACTTCCCAATATTAACATTCAAACTAAGAAAGTCAAACACACTAATAGTTTCACATAAAAACAATACTTATACCCTTGTCCCATGAAATGGTTCAGCTTACCTCATCTCCCTTTAAAACTTCAGTACCATCGAATTCACGGGTCTGATTTCTCTTTACTGATGCTTCTCTCTCTAGGCTGGCTAACTTCTCCTTGGCCTCCTGAAGTTCTTCAGCTTTGGCTTCTTTTTTACGGGAAATGATAGATGCCTGATTGAGCATTAAATATGAATATATAATAAGATATACAAACAGCTTCCTATTATCTTGTGAAATTATCTATTTTTTAGATTTTACCAAGTTATATTTTCAATATCAGCTTGGTCTCTCCTAACCAATACTCCTTGCCCTACTACTCATCATCACCAATTATACTGAATATGAACATACAACGTATATTAAATACCAACCTACAAACACTTTGGAAGACAAAGCTCTGAAAATGTAAGACATATCAGCAGAGAAACAAAAATGTGCTAATAAGAAAAATATTAGGCCAGGTGCAGTGGCTCAAATCTGTAATCCCAGCACTTTGGGAGGCCGAGGCAGGCGGATCATGAGGTCAGGAGTTTGAGACCAGCCTGACCAACATGGTGAAACCCCATCTCTACTAAAAATACAAAAATTAGCCAGGTATGGTGGTGTGCGCCTGTAATCCCAGTTACTCAGGAGGCTGAGGCAGGAGAATCGCTTGAACCCGGGAGGTGGAGGTTGCAGTAAGCCGAGATCACGCCACTAGGCTCTAGCCTGAGTGACAGAGCAAGACTCTGTCTCGGAAAAAAAAAAAAAAAAAAGAAGGAAAAGAAAAATATTAAAAGTCTTCTCACATAACACTCAAATGCTAATGAAAATACATCCTAGTTCAAGTCAATAGAAGGTAACACCAAGTCTACTGTATTTTTACATGGTGGGTTTCCCTTTATTGGAAGAAAAAAAATGCTTCATTCTCAAAACTACAACACGGGTCATCTTACTAAATTCAATATCCATACTTTTAAAATGAAATATTAAAACATCTATTATATTTGGGCCATTCTAATAAATAAAATGCAGGTTCAAACTCAAACATCTGACTCACCAGAATTAGACAAATGTTTACAAAATGCAAATAGCTACTCTTAGCAGCATTTTATATTAGCTAGTAACTGTTGGGAAATTTCCTTAAATGAACCATAGGTGTACTAGTTTAAGAAAAACATTAGCCAATCTGTCTTAAGAGAAAGGATACAAATAATTTTTCAAGAAAATATGACGGGGGAGCGAAATCTCTAGCACAAATCCTTAAAAAAAATTCTATTGTCCTTTTTTTAAAAAAATGAAAAGACAGGTGATGATGAAGGAATGTTTCACTCCATAGAACTATTCTAGCTTAAACAATGAAGGAGGCTGGGTGCAGTAGCTCACGTCTGTAATCCCAGCACTTTGGGTGGTCAAGGTGGGAGGATCACTTGAGCCCAGGAGTTTAAGACCAGCCTAGGCAACATAGTGAGACCCTGCCTCTAAAAAAAAAAATAAATAATAAAAGAAAAATAGCTGGGTGTGGTGATGCACACCTGTGGTCCCAGCTACTTGGCAGGCTGAGATGGGAGGATCATTTGAGTTTAAAAGGTTGAGGCTGCAGTGAGCCATGCTCATGTACTGCACTCCAGCCTGGGTGACAGAGACCCTGTCTCAAAGTAAAAAAAAAAAAAAAAAAAAAAGGGTCAGGCATGGTGGCTCATGCCTGTAATCCCAGCACTTTGGAGGCCAAGGCGGGCGGATTACCTGAGGTCAGGAGTTCAAGACTAGCCTGGCCAACACGGTGAAACCCTGTTTCTACTAAAAACACAAAAATTAGCCAGGCATGTTGAGGTGTACCTGTAGTTCCAAATACTTGAGAGGCTGAGGCAGGAGAATTCCTTGAACGTGGGAGGCGGAGGCTGCAGTGAGCCAAGATTGTACCACTGCACTCCAGCCTGGGTGACAGAGTGAGACTCCATCTCAAAAGAGAAAAAAAAAAAAAAGTGGTGAAGAAGGAATGATAGAATACCAAACTGTGTAAGAATTGATGGTATACTTCAATAATAAAATAAGTAACATAAAATAAATATAAACTTCATTCCCAAACCAGGATCTTATTTAATAGAAAAATATGAGGGTATTTCCCACTAAACTCAGGAACAAGAAAAAAATGCCCACTACCTTTACACAGTTTAATTACTGCGTTGAAAGTATTAGCTAATAGACATGAGACAGCAGTTAGAACATAAAAATTTGACAGGAAAAATTGGAATTTGCATGTTATATATAATTATGTGTCCAAAAGAATCAATAGAAAAACTACAGAAACCAAATCAATAGCTTTCATAGACAAAATCAGTCGGAAGACATAAGGAAAGAAAAGCCCTCATTTATAAAAGCAAAAATGAAAGTAAATATATGTGATGGTTAATATTAGGTGTCAACTTGACAGGATTGACGGATGTCTAGGTGGCTGGTAAAGCATTTTTTCTGGGTGTGTCTATGAGGGTGTTGCCAGAGGAGACTGACATTTGAGTCAGTGGACTGGGAGACAAAGACCCACTCTCAATGTAGTGGGCACTGTCCAATTAGCTGCCAGTGCTGCTAGAACAAGGCAGGGAGAGGAAGGTGGGATAGCTTTGCTTGCTGAGTCTACTGGCTCTCTTTGTTCTTCCCATGTTGGATGCTTCCTCTCCTACTGTCCTTGGATATTAGACTCCAGGTTTTTCAGCTTTTGAGACTTACACCAACAGCTTCCTTGGGCTCTTGGCCTTTCGGCTGCACGCTGAAGGCTACACTGTCGTCTTCCCTGGTCTTGAGGCTTTTGGCTTTGGACTGAGCCACTACTGGATTTTCTCTTTCTCCAGCTTGCAGATGGTCTATCATGACTTTGCCTTGTAATTGTGTGAGCCAATTCTCCGTAATAAACTCTCTTTTATATATACCTATATCCTATTAGTTCTGACTAACCAATAGGATATATGGTTGATTAGGATAACCCTGACTAATACAATATGTAGGCATAAATTTTACTTTTAGTTTCGAAACTGTTTGAGGAGGTGAGATTCTGAGAGGGTGGTGGAGCAGGAAGCACCTGAAATCTGTCTCCTCACCTAGTGAGGTATTACTCTGGTATTCCAAAATAATTACAACACAGGATTCTACCAGTGTAATTGTTAGAATACTGAGTGCTTGCAACATCCAGTGGAAAGCTTAGACAGCAAAGTGAGGCTAATTTCAATCAATTTCAGCCCTTAGCACAGTAGCAGGTTTCATCTCCCACCCCCAGCCCCAAACACATGTTCCTGGTGCAGCCTGCACACAGCTTGCTGGAGCAAGAGTGAACAGAAAGGACCTAGTCCTCCAATACTGGGGATCTGTGACCTGAGTGCTATTTCTGATCACAGAGGTGCAGACAAAGAGAGGGAGGCCATTGTTGTTGCATCTTCCACCATTATTACAAGTCCCTCCCCCTCTGACTGAAGTGACTTCTAGAGGATTTATAGGTCCGGATCCTTTTTTCTGTCCCTTTAATTTTTCTCATTCTCCCTTTTTGGAAACCAGACATTTAAGACTAAGACATTAAAAAGCAACTGCATATATGGGAAAATTTAGAAAGTGACCACACATGTCCAGGGAAATGCAATGGCTCAGAAAAGACCTGAGATTATTTATTTATTTATTTATTTATTTTGAGACAGGGTCTGGCTCTGTCACTCAGGCTGGAGTGCAATGGCCCAATCTTGGTTCACTGCAACCTCCGCCTACCAGGCTCAAGCAATCTGCCCACCTCAGCCTCCTGAGTAGCTGAGACCATAGGTACACACCACCACACCAAGCTATATTTCTGCATTTTTAGTAGAGACAGGGTCTTGCCATGTTGCCCAGGTTAGTCTCAAACTCTTGAGCTCAACCAGTCATCTTGGCCTCCCAAAGTGCTGAGATTGTAGGCATAAGCCACTGTGCCCACCCTATCTTAACTTTACACTTTAGCCTATTCTTTGGCCCAGTCTACACCAATCAAAAAAACAAAAACAATAACAAAAAAACAGTAAACCCCTGGGAAGAGAGAGAACCTAATTTCCAGAGTTACTACATTATGAGATTCCAATGTCCACTTTTCAACCAAAAAAAAATCACAAAGCATAAAAAGAAACAATAAAATATGATACATCTAAAGGAAAAATATGAGGCCAGGCACAGTGGTTCACACCTATAATCCCAACACTTTGGGAGGCTAAGGCAGAAGGATCCCTTGAGGCCAGGAGTTTGAAAACAGTTTGAGCAGCATAATGACACCCTGTTTCTATTTTTTAGAATAAAATTGTTAAAAAAATTTGAAAATAGACCAGGCACGGTGGCTCATGCCTATAATCCTACCACTTTGGGAGGCCAAAGCAGTTGGATTACTTGAGGTCAGGAGTTCCAAGATCAGTCTAGCCAACATAGTGAAACCTGTCTCTACTAAAAATACAAAAATTAGACAGGTGTGATGGCTAATTTTTGTATTAGCCTGTAATCCCAGCTACTCAGGAGGCTGAGGCAGGAGAATTGCATGAACCCAGGAGGTGGAGGTTGCAGTGAGCTGAGATTGTGCCACTGCACTCCACCTGGACAATGGAGTGAGACTCTGTCTCAAAAAAAATAAAATAAAATAAAATAAAATAAAATAAAAATAAAAACAGAGGAAAAAAATGAATCAATAGAAGTTCTCTGAAAGAGACCTGATGGCATATCAACTAGATAAGGACTTTAAAACTACTGTCTTAAAGATGCTTAAAGAACTCACGAAGATGTGGAGAACATCAAGAAAACAACGTATTAACAAAATGGAAATGCCAAATACAGAGAAAACCTAAAGAGAAAGGAAAAAGAAATCCTGGAGCTAAAAAGTACAATATTGAAATTAAAAATTCACTAGAGGGATTCAAAGGCAGATTTGGGAAGGCAGACAAAAGAATCCATGAACTTGAAGACAGGTCAATGGAAATTATCAAGTCTGAGAAATAGAAAGAGAAAAATACTGAAGAAAAGTGAACAGAGCCTAAGGGACATGTGGGATACCATTAAGTAGGCCAGTATATGCACTGTGGGAGTCCCAGAAAGAAAAGACAAAGAGAAAGGGACAGATAGAATATATGAAGAAATAATGTATGAAAACTTCATCAATTTGATTAAATATAAATATAAACATCTAAGAAGCAGAATAA